GCTGTTGGTAAGCTGCGAATGCGTCTGTTGTCTGTGAGAATTTTCAAAACCAAAGTGTTGGAGGTGATAAAAAAAGGTGATGCTTTGGCAAAGCAAGCTGCTACCATCGACTTACAGAATGTAAGACAGATGGAGCATCTCATCCATAGGCATATCACTCTGGTTGAGCGTGAGCTTGCTTTTGATTTGACAAAGCTATCCCAACAAATGTTGCGACGCGTGAAGAAACTGAAGGATAAATATTTGGACTCTGTTTACGCCAGTGCCCTCATGAAGAACACGTATCAGATGGATGTTCTCAAACGTAAAATTTTCAATCTAAATGCGTTCCTCAAATGTGCTCCTATTCTCGAAAAAGCCGAATCTTACAATCACACGTTGTCACTTTTGAAAAATGACAACATGACTTTTTCGGTTCGTGACTACGACTCTGTCGAACAAACACACTTAAAACAGGAATGGAAATTCAACAAGATTGTTGTTGACGAAACGAAAGCTCTCAACAGAGAACTTCAGAACCTATTTAAACGTCGTGAACTTTTAAAAATAGCATTTAAATTGGGCAAACGAGTCATTGAGGAGTTGGATATTGCAAACAACGACGTCAGACTTGTCGAAAAAGGCATAGAGTCAATCCGTCGTGAGGTCCAAGAGAGTGTTTTAGAAAGCGAAACTATTTATAGTTTATTACTTGCCCGTGGGATGGCGCTACGAAGTACGTTTTTGAGTTCTCTAATACAATTTGTGCAATCACAAAAATCAGCAATCCTCTCAAAACTGCCAAAACGAGATTATGAGAGGTTGATGGCAGAACTGCACTTCATAAAAGCCGACCAAATTGTCGGAAATTTGAATCAAATCCGCAACAAAAATTTGCGGTTCGTCCAATTTGGACTCAAAGAGATTCAAATCGCACAACTCGAACTCAAGGAATGCGAAAGGACCAGAGACCCACTGACCGCAAACGTCATAAACACGATTGGAGAGTGGAATCAAACCGTCAATAAAGGGATTATCCGGGTCAGAAAATCGAAGAGACCAACATACTCTTTGAAAACAAAGATGAACAGTGTTCTGTATGTTTTGATGTGGACGGCAAATTCGTCTTGCGTTGTTGCGAGGGAAAAGTTTGGCGGAAACTGGGCGTCAGTCGCAAAACAGGTGTAACGCACTCAAACAGTCTAAAAACGCCGATTTTGCAAAGTGTGGTGTTGTGACTAAACGGTTTATGCAACACGCGCAGACTCATCACTTGGAGATGATCACCACGGATACAAACAAAATTTGTCATCGCCTCAATTTGTGTTGAGGCGATGACAATTAATTATTTAGTTGTTTTATGTAGTAAATAAAACTACAAGTATAGAATTTGTTTATTCACCATTCATTTAAGTCCGAAACCTGAATTTGAGGTGATTGCTTTGATCACTTGGTCGTGCATCTGTTGTTTCGATTTGTATTTTGGGAGCTTGAGCATGTACGCACACGTTGAAGATGTTGGGAGTCTATCGCCACTCTCTTCGGTAAAATACACTGCAAATTTCGGCTCCAAAGAACCAAATCCGAAAAATGGCGGTTTGATGAGTGAAGTGCTGAATTGAAGCAAAAGCACACGTTCTTCTTCAGTCATCTCTTCAACCATTTCCCAGAACCACCTCACTTCAATCGAGTCTTCCTCTTTGTTGTGGTACACGGTGTTTTGGCGCCAGTCGTTCACATCAATCACACTCGACTTACCACTTATCCAGTACTGTAGCTCATCCTTATTGTTAGTTCTCTGTGTGGGTAGTCCAATAAATAAAGACAAACAGGGAAGAGCAGCATCAAATCAGCCTCGTCTATCACACTTAAAATACCATTCCGCATTGACCGGAGTTTTCTGAGGTTTCTCAGATGTGTGATGTGGTACACAACACAAGAGATGTAATAGTTGATGTTCTCTCTATTGACTTTGATTTTGTCACCGTCACTAATCAGTAAGTTGTTGTCATACACAAAGACAAGTTCCAATGAGTCGAGTGTTTCCTCATCAAGATCAGCCAAATCAAGCAGATTTTTGGCCAAGACGTGATCGATACTTTCAAGTATATTAATATTAACACAATTATCATCGGGATTGATCAATCCGATCAAAATATCATCGGAAAAGACCAAATCAACACACACCTTTTCTCTCAAGCATTTCCCTATTAACCTTCCAACCATCATATAAAGATCGTCCTCGTTTGTCTCCACCAAGCTTTTCTCTCTCTTCCCAAATGTCAAAATCCCTTCAGAATTCCTTTCAAAGAGTTTGAGTGTCTCAACACAGTGATTGAGTGTTGTTAAAAGGTAGTCCCTCAACAGCCCGCCGCCGTCAACACCATCTTCCTCAATGCCAAATTTGTCGACAAACTGAATGGAAATTGCTCTGATATCACAAGTGTTAATTTGCGCCAAGGTGTCCTCGATCAAGTAGTCCCTCCGGATTTTCATCACGGGGTGGTAACCGATATTAGACGTGATTTTAGAGAATATGTAAATGAGTTTTTGCGACATCGATGAGTTTTTCGACGGATTGACACTTTTGAGAATTGGCAGAAGTGAAGGCGGGAACGGTGTATGTCTCACAAACAAGTGTAAGTCCTGTATTGTTGACTCGTCTTGCTTTAAATCGAGGAGTGGCAGAACCATTTTGACCATCGGGCACAACTCGTCATAAAACGAGTTGTACAATCGAGAACAGAAAGTGTCGTGACAGAGCGCGACAAACAGTTCTGTTACTTCCTTCTTTGTCTCTTTCTTATTCAATATGTCTTCAAACAAGGACAAAAACGGAAATGGAAAATTTTGCAAAAAAAGGTGCAGAAGTGTTTTGCTCTTAGCGATTTTCTTATATATCTCAACGTGTGTCCAAAATGAGGCTTTGTCTACTTGTGGTGCAAGTTTCTTATGGAAAAGCCGGAGCAAAATCGTGTTATATTGATCTCCCTTACTTTGTGAGATGTACTTTAAGACATGCTCAGGTTTTGTGTCTTTCTCCAAAAGAGTTGCAATTAATTCCTGGTTATTCTTGAGATTGGCACATGAGAGAAAAGTGAGTGAATCTTGGGACAGAGTGAGTGCATTTCTTTCGAGTTCTAAATAGTTCAGTAAACCATCACCCGGATAGTTTGTCAAAACTGTAATTAACTCCTCTCGCATCTTTGGCGGAACGGTGGAAAGGAAAGAGAATGTTGGATATAAGCGCGGGGAAACTGGATTTTCAGAAAACGTTGTAACCAATGAGAGAACCATTCGTGGGTTCGTCACATTGCCTTTTAATAACAAATTCCACGCAAGTTTACCGATGAGTGGGTGCTTGCTTTTGTAGTTCAATAGCAACATACATTGTTGGATGTCGGGCAACTGTTTGCACAGAGCGGCCGCTGTCACACTTTTCTCGTACTCGTAGGGTTTTTTTGTCTTTTTAAAATTGTCGAAATGTGTTGCAAAGAGTGCGGGGAGTACCTTCTGGACTTCCCAACTTCGGATGACAGATTGAATCATCTCGACACGCTCACGCCGTTTTGTCTCTTTTTCTCGTTCCATTTTGTCAATCTGGATTTGCGCCATAATCTCGTTGAGTGTTTTTGTCTTAGTGTTTCCGCCAAGATCCACCTTTTTGTTTACTCTCCAGCTTGGGTTCATTGTTATTTCCAGTTTTGTGGAGATTAGTATATCCCATACAATTAACACGAAGACTACTTGTGTAAACTTCATCAGTTTTCTGGAACAACAAATTTTATTGGAACATATTTTATTATTTCTTCTGTCATTTTCTTCAAATTTAAAAAATAGTGTTCTTACAATCCGTTAAAACTATTAGGAAAACACTAATTTAAACAAATATAATAGATAGTTGTGATGATCTTTCATTTATTATTAATAGCATTTTAAAATCTCAAAATAAACTTAAAAATCACAATTACGAAAAATTCCAAACCTTTTGTCCTAAAAAGAGTTCTGTTTGAATGGTGGGTGTGTTTGGATCAAAGTGGTACTTTACGATAATTTCGAACCCAAGGGATATTATACCCCAATGTAAAAACTCCAATTTTTCCTTCGAAAGGGGTTTCTCTA